TTGACTGCTAACCAGAAGGCTGGTGGTTCAAACCCACCAGCCACTCCTTGGAAGGAAGGTTGGACAATCTACTTCCATAGTGATACTGCCTTGGATACCCAAGGAGGGGTCGCTGTGAGCCAAGTCGACTTGAAGGCAGTGATTTTTTTTTTTTTTTAGTTCTCAAAATGCAGAGCATTATGTTGTATCACAATGTCATATGCAGATAAGGCAATATCCACAGTGACTTGTGTGACTTTTCTGGCTATTTGCAAAAACCAAAAAAAACAAAAAACAAACTCACTGCCCTGGAGTCAGATCTGACTCATAGTGACCACTCCTTGGGTTTCCGAGGTGGTTATCACTAGGGAAGTAGATTGCACCATCTTCCTTCTGAGGAGTGGCTGGTGGTTCAAAACCATCAGCCTTCTGGTTAGCAGTCCGATGCCTTAGGTACTACGCCACCAGAGCTCCTATTAGAGGCAACAGAACAAACAGTATTTCCCTTTGGCCATATCAACTTTCTTCTATTTTGAAACACCAAAACCTTATTTCCAATAGTGAGCAATCTCCTGAAAATAAAGATTCCCTAAACGGAATAAAAGCATTTAATCATTCTTGATGAGCAAAGATTTTTTGTTATTTTTTAAAATCTTACAAAATATGAAAGGTAGAAATTACATATTTCACTACAATTTTGTTTACATACAATATTAGAGAGCCAAATAACAATTTTTTCCTTAATCAATTTGAACAAGATAAACAGGACAGAAGTTACAACTAATTTTGATTATCCTAACTTCCAACACAGTAATTTGTAAGCACCTCAAAAATTAGTCACTCCACAAGCATTTCAATTAGTCACTCCTCAAGCATTCCAACAAATGCCCAGCACAGTAAATAGCACTTTAAACTACAGAACTGTGATTTCTTTGAATTGTATGTACACAAATTTTCAGACTAGCTCATTATTAATTCAGGCATTTTCCCACATCTTAATAAAAACAAAACAAAAACACCTATGAGAACAAGAATGCAGGATCCATGTTCTATAAGAGAAACTAAAAACTTTATCTCCTAGAACATTCTTAGCCAATCAGACTCTCAAACTCCCTGCGGGCAGGGATCACATCTTTGTATCATTTTTTTTCCAGCTCAGCAAGGAGTAGTGTCAGACAATAAAGTGTTTGATGAAACTAAGTGAAAATGAAACATTTCCAACTGTTTGTTGTTGCTATGTGCCATTGAGTCAGACCTACTGGTAAGCGACCCCTCCTTGTGTTTCTGAGGCAGTGTTACTGTGGAAGTAGATTGCCCAACCATCCTTCCTAGGAGTGACTGGTAGATTTGAACCGCCAGCCTTCTGGTTAGCAGTCAAGTGCCTCCTCTTTCCTTATGGTATTCTGACAACTCAGATAAAGAAAAAGTATTACAGTAACGAGATCCCCAGAGGTACAAAGCACACAGCAGCAGAGTGGTGCCATGTGTTTGATAAAGACGCGGCTCAAACAGCTTACTCTTCCCTCCCTACACAGTGGCCTCTCCACCCCAAGTTGTTTCGCAAATGTTCTCCATGATCACAGGGAGGTTCAAGTGAGAGTGTGTGGAAGGTCCTGCATTTTTGACTTTGATGGTGGTGGGAAAACCCAAAGGTACCTTACTGACATTAGAGCAATGGCATCATCCTTCTGACTCCTGCCCCTGATGTACCAAGGTTAAACCAAACCCTTAACATTCTAACAAAGCATTGAGAATGCCATTTATTAAAACAATTACAAACAGGGGAGAGGTGGTCATATGGCTTCCCAAATTTTAAATATTCACAAATAACTAAATTACAATAGGTAAAATTCAGAATTTAGAAAGAGGAGCTCTGTGAACTAATAAGAACTCAGTTAAACTTCAATAAATTAAACCACTGTGCTCCAGAGTACTGAAAGCTACTTAATCTTCAATGTTGACAGTTTGTGGAGTAATTTCTTTTGACGTGTTAAACAGATTCCCAACAGTAATAGATGCGCAACAGTAGATGGAAGAATAGTAAATAAATTCTCTTCCTTTCACCGACGATTTACCCTCCCCAGCAAAGTTTTTAAAAAGGTAATGGGTGAGGGTGTCTTGTCCCAATTCAAGCGGGGAATCCGCCCAGCATAACCAAATATCTTTACTCACTTGTGCCCCCAGAGCCTTGTCCACACCGGGTGCCCCTCCAGCTCCAAAACAACTACCAAGGAAGAGGAAGAACTACTCTTTACTTGGCTCAGGCTCCGCCTCCCAAAACTATGGAAGGTCCCTAGTGAGCTGCACACCTGAAACAGGTAAAGGAGCAAGTAAACACCCCACTTTTGTCCAGTGTAAAACATCTACTTAATAAATGTTTCCAGGACAAAAATAGCAAAGCTATTTGGGCTGTCAATTAGGGCAAGGCCTTCGCTCCGCTAAATCAGTCTCGTACTTTTTAAAGAAACTCCATCTTTTCAGGTTGGGAGAAACCAACACAGACGATCTCTATGACAGAGCCGGAAGGTGCTCCACTTGTGTGATTTTGTTTGCGACAGTTATGACCGCGCAAAGGGTGCATGGTAGTGGTGACGGCACCGCAGAGGGCTGAAACTGCGGGGTTCCCGGGAAGGGCGCCTCCCCGGATCCAATGTGGACTCCATTCCTAATGCTCTCCCAGGCGGCACCTAGTTTTCTGAGCGGACTTCTTACGTCTGCGCGAGGCTTGACTTTTAAGTTGCTGACGTTTAATAATCACAGAGGGATTTTTGTTCTCGTGGACACTTGAAAGTTGAGAAAGGGCGCGTGGTTTCAATTGTGAGACATCGCCAGTCTTCTTCCGGGTCTTACTCTGCTGGCCCGGAATTGCTGAGCCCCTCAAACTGCGCTAGCCCTCTAGAGACTTGTCCTGAGCCACCCCTCAGCTGCAGCTATCAGGCGCTGGCTGATATCACATCACGTGTTACGGGCACCAGGGTATGCACATCTTTCTCCCCACCTGGCCCAGCCCTCGGCCTCGCATTTGACCTGCGCTCAGATGAATTAATTCCTATCATGCTACATTACATCGTCCAGTACTATTAAGATTTTGGACGTAACTGAGTCAAATGCAACTCTCTCAGCGCTTACACCTTGGTAATCAACATTCTTGGGCGGTGGAAATCAGCAGGAGGGCCAGGAGGCTTGGAGTCCCTCCCCACCTCAGGCTCCGCCCTTTCAGGTGACTCGCGGCCCCCTGTTCTCTGAGGGTTGCGTGTCCGCGGTCTCCCCGCCCCTGGGCGGAGCTAGAACTCGAACTGCGCCGGCGCGCGGGAGCCGGACGCTCATAGCACGCGTGCGCCACGATCAGAGCAAGTTCCGGCTGGCGACTGACTCGTTTGTACTTCTTAATACGTGAGAAAATGGCAGAGCTGGTTCCCAAGTCCGTGTTGTTTGTATGTCTGGGTAAGAGGGTGCTGATTTAATTTCACTGCTGACTTCCACTGGAGGGTTGGATATGGGCTTCTTGGACTGTGGGCTGTGCCACGGAACCACTGAAAGTTAGCGGAAACAGGTTTGGGAAAGGGAGATGGAGACCTTACGAATGGAATAGAAGTAACCTGGGCTCTTCCTTCCGCTTTGCGCTTTCGAATCCCTTTCTCTAAACCAGTGTTTGTTTTATTGCACGTAGCTAGAATTCCGATTCTAGATCCATAGTGCCCTCCTCGACTGCTTACCTAATACTCTTTAATGTACGTGGTATACTTAGGATCCCCTGAGGTCCATGAAAACACTGGTTTGCCTGCGAGTTTCCTTTGCCCGTGCTTTAAAATGGAACTGAGCTAAGAATGGTTTGAGTGGGAAGGTTTCTGATTTTTTCATCGTAAAAGCTGGGCCATGGAGTCCTTAATTCTCCAGTTATCTTTGTGACCTTGGTCCTTGACATCATCTGCCCGTGTCCCGATTTCACCACAAGAAAAATGACGATATTTTATGTACCTTGGAGTGCTTTCTAACTTAGAAATATTCTCAGTTTTAAAATTTCAATACTTAGCCTCCTGTATGCTTAACAGTTACTTTCCTTTAGTTTTCAGGATTCTTCCCTTCCAGGAGCACAAAATGGTTATATTCCTCAGTGTTTCCACCCTATCTCCATCATTTCCTAGAGAGGATAGCCTACTTAAGAAATCTTCTGGTGGGTCTGCACTTTGTGCAGAATAACGGCCCAGTCCTTTTTTACATTGAACCCATAGAAGTCCAGCCTAGCCTTTTCCATTACCTTTTTCCACCTACACCTTCTGAACACTCCTTATCCAGAACTGTCTGCTGTTGGCCAACACATCAGGCATTTAATGTGCCCTTGATTATGTGGTTATTTCTCTCTGGGCAACTCTTTTCCTCTTTGCCTGAAAAGCCTTGTTATATTCTAAGGTCAAACTTGAATGTCTTTCTTTACTTTCCCACTGACAGAATGGTGTGTGGCTTTGCTTGAGGTGCATTGCCTAGGAATTGAACCCTGCAGTAAACCGCCACTGCAGCTTTATGGCCTTTTATAAGCGTCTTTTATTGTACACGTTATAATTTGGTAACCTTTTGAAATCCCAGCTTGATTTAGCTTCCTTAAGGGCAAAAATTGTTGCTTGTTTTTCCTCTGGGAGCTCTGGTAGCATAGTGGCTAAGGCACTTGACTGCTAACCATAAGGCTGAGGGTTCAAACCCACCAGCCACTCCTTGGAAGGAAGGTTGGGCAATCTACTTCTGTAGAGATACTGCCTGGGAAACCCAAGGAGGGGTCGTTATGAGTCGGGTCCAACTTGATGGCACATAACAACAACAGCAACAACATTTTTACTCTATTTCTAACTTTAGGACAGTATCTGCCACTTACTAGGTTAGTTTTAGAATTAAAGTTCTATGAGAGAAAAAGTAAAAGGGTCACCTTGTCCTGCCTTAATAGTGGGCTATCACTTGATTTTTAAGATCTCCACTGAAGGCACTTGACTTCTAACCAGAAGACTGGAGGTTCAAATCCACCAGTCACTCCTCAGAAGGAAGGTTGGGCATTCTACTTCTGTAGTGATATCACCTTGGAAACCCAAGGAGGGGTCGTTATGAGTTGGGTCTGACTCAGCTGCACATAACAACAACAACAACATGACTGAAGGCTGACTGATAGAGTCAATACGTTTTACACAGCAGTTCTGCTCAGATTGTGCACCAAATAAGATTCCATTGCCTTGTTTACTTTTACTTCATGTTCTTGATTATGCTCTTGGTACCATGGTAGCTGCTAATGAGTGTATGTTTGCATATATTTGTCTTCAGTATTACTCAACAGTTTTCTTTTGATCACCTACTGTATACCAGGTGTTATAGATTGAATTATGTCCCCCAGAAATGTGTTGTAAATCCTAACCTTTATGCCTGTGTTCATAATCCTGCTTGGGAATGGGTTGTCTTTGTTATGTTGATGGGCACAAAGAGTATAGGGTGTTTTTTGAGTCAATCTTTTTGAGATATAAAAGCGATTAAACAAGCATATGAAAAGCAGAGATGAGGATAGAGATGTCAAGCCATGTGAAGATTGCCCAGGAACAGAAATTCAAAGAGAGAAGGATCTTCTTCCAGAGCTGGCAAAGAGAGAAAGCCTTCACCTAGAGCTAGCACCCTGTATACACATTTCTACCTTCCAAAACTGTGAGAAAATGAATTTGTTTGTTAAAGCCACCCACTTGTGCTATTTCTGTTATAGCAGCATTAGATGACTAAGACATCAGGCACTGTTCTAAGTGATAGGCGTATAATAGTGAACAAATCAGATGAAAATACTTTCACTTCTAGATCTCACATTCTGTCAGCAGCGAACAAGTAATTGGTGTACTCAGGTGGTGGTAAGTATTGGAAAAAAATAAAGCAGGAAAGGGAATGGGAGCGTAGTGTAGTTTTAAATAGTGATCAGTGAAGACTTTAGGTACAATTTGAACAAATATTTAAAGAGATGAGGATGCAAGCCTAGTAGGTATTTTTGGAAATCAACCTGGATCTAAGGGAAAGCAGGAAAAAAGTTTTAAAGTGAGAGTGTCCTAGCCGTGTACAAGAAACAGCAAGGAGCCTGGAGTGATGAAGTAGCCTTTCTCGGTCAAGATTCCTCATTTGAACCTGGAACTCAGGGTAGTTGAGTGCTAATTTTCTCAATGTTCCTATGGATAATATATAGTCAGTACCATTTTAGATGATAGAGGGAAAAGTTAATTCATTATGTACAGTGATTGCTTTTTTAGGGCAGGAGTCTGCAGACTTATGGGCCATACCTAAGTTATAGCAGGAAGGCAGCCCTAGAGAATACCTAAATGATTGAGTGTGGCTGTCTTCCAATAGAACTTTATTTAGAGACTGAAATTTAAATTTCATATAATTTTCATGTGCCGTAAAGTACTCTTCTTTTTAGTTTTTCAGCCATTTAAAAATGTAAAAATTATTCTTAGCTCTGTGGGCTGTACAAAAAAAGGTGATGGCTCTGGTTATGAGCAATAGACTTAGGACCCCTGCTTTAAGGTATAAGGGGTTCATATCTTGTTAGGCCTTGTAAGAACTTTGGCTTTTACTCTGAATAAGAAAAGAAGCCACTGAAGAATGTTGAGTAGAGGTGGTAGGAAGTGATCTAATTTAAGTCTTAAAAGAAGCATTCTAGCTCATGTGTGAAGATTCCTCCAAGGGGAAGCAAGAGTAGAGGAGGGAGACTTGATAGGACACTACTGCAATGATCTAGGCAAGAAGTGACCCTGTGAGCTTGGACCAGAGTGTTAATGGTATGCGTGGTTCATGGTCATGTTCTCTCACTGTGAGATAAATACATAGGGTGTGTGTGTGTGTGTGTGTGTGTGTGTATGCATGTATTTTGTGTGGAGGCATATATATATAGGAGCTCTGGTGGTGAAGTAATCAAGGCATTCAGCTGCTAATCAAAAGGTCAGTGGTTTGAACCCACCAGCAGCTTCATGGGAGAAAGCTGAGACAGTTTGGTTCTGTAAAGATTTACAGCCTTGGAAACCTTCTGGGGCAGTTCTGCTCTGTCCTGTAAGATCACTATGAGTTGGAATTGACATGATGGCTGTAGATACAGACTGAAGTGTAGAGCTGCGTCATGGTTTCCATTGATAAGGCTAATAGCAGAAAAGAATTATTTTGGCAAGATCACGTGTTTATGTTTTAGTAAGATAAAGGCTTTCTGGAGAATAGAAGCGGTTAATCATGCCCCAGTCAGGGTTAATCATGCCCCAGTCAGCGTGTGTGTTTGCAGATAATAATGTATTAGTGGTGTCAGATTACTTTTTTCCTTTAGTTAAACAGATACTAATTGAGTGCTTTGCCATACACTGTGCTAGCTGCTGAGGATACTCTGATGAAAAAAATAAACATTCCTTTATAGTGCTTAATTTTTTTTTTCCCCTCTTTTGTTAGTCTCTATCCTTGAAATGAAGGAGCTCCAGTGGCACAGTGCCTAAGGCGTTTGATTGCTAACCAAAAACTTAGCGGTTCAAACCCACCAACCACTCTGTGGAAGGAAGACGGGGCAATATACTTCTGTTCTACTGCCACCTCCTTAATTGAGGTTTCTACCTATCACTTGGTGTTTAATGTTAGCCTCTTAAGTAGTTTTTGTCTTCAATATTGTGCTCTCCTAACGTTTCCTTGACCCTGCAAGTTATTTTCCTAAATTGTGGGAAGAGTCTGTGTCTTAAACAACTTTTTATATTCAGGCCCTAACAAAGTACTTGGACCATTAATAGTAGGTATACTGAACCATGGTTTTTGGAATGAATATGTCATACAAAGTTCAGTTTGTTCCCACATTTTAGGTCTCCCATATACCAGGTTCATCAGCTCATATTAGCTTAATCTCTATACATGAAACATGGTGGTGGCAACTTCACAGACTAATTCATGCAATTAATTCTCTTGAATTTAAGTGTCATTCTGCTTTTGCCCAGTATGATCCTCTTCATCCTTCGAAGATCAACTCTAATTTTTTTTTCCATGCTACTAACAAATTTTATTATCCTGTGTGTTTTTTTTTTTTTTAATCTTTGTTTTTTTATCCTCATCTACTATATTGCTTGTGTATCAGCATTTATGTTCTTTTTATTATAGCTAACTATCTGCCTTCATTAACTGCTCGGCACATGTTTTGAATGGAGAATTTGTGTCTTTCATCTTTCTCAACAGTATTCTTAGCACAGGGCTTTGCACGTTGTTGTCAATGAAGTTTGTGGTTAATTATTAATACCTAAATACATTTTGTTTTTATATTGTTTCATGAAACAATATCTGCCCTTATGTCTAATATGTTTGAAAATACATATATTTAAATTCCATTCTATTTCATTTTAAATTAGACTGGTTTTCTTCATAAAATTAATTTGGGAGGATTCCATCCTTTTTTATGTTCTGGAATAGTTTGAGTAGGATTGGAGTCAGCTCTTTTCTGAATGATTGGAAGAATTCTCTAGTGAAGCCGTCTGGGCTAAGACTTGTTTTGTTGTTGGTAATTTTTTTGTGACCTGTTCAGTTTCTTTTGTTATGGGTCTGTTCAAATTTTCTACCCCAGTGTGTTAGTTTATGTAACTAGTGTGTTTCTAGAAATCTGTCCATTTCTTCTAGGTTTTCAAATTTGTTGGAGTACAGTTCTTCATAGTATCCTGGTACTAGTCTCTTTATTTTTCTTAGTTCTATCGTGACGTCACCCATTTAATTTCTTGTTTGTATTATTTGCATCTTCTCCTCCTTTTCTTTTGTTAAGTCTGCTGGTGCTTTGTCAACTTCATTAATCTTTTCAAAGAACCACCTTCTAGTCTTGTTGATTTTTTTTTTTCTTCTTTTTTTTATTGTCTGTCTACTGTTTCATTTGTTTCTATTCGAATCTTTATTATTTCTTCTGGTGACTGTATACTTTTTGCTGCTTTTTTTCCCTAGTTGTTGGAGATGTTGGGTTAAGATGTTGATTTTGGCTCTTTTTTGATGTTTGTATCTATTGCTGTAAACTGCCCTCTGATCACTGCTTTTGCTGTGTACCAAAGATTTTTGTATGTTATGCTTTCATTTTCATTTAACTTAGAGAATTTTTTAATTTCATTTTTTATTTCTTCTATTACCTAGTCATTTTTGACAAGGATGTTACTCAGTTTCCACATGTTTGCTCTTTTCTTCCTGGTGTTGATTTCTAATTTTACAGCATTGTGATCTCAGGAGATACATTGCAGTATCTCGGTGTTTTTAAATTTATTGAGGCTTTGTGGCCTAACATATGGTCAATCCTGGAGAGTGTTCCATGTGTTCTGGAAAAAATTGTATGTTTTGCTGTTGTTAGATGAAGTGCTTTGTAGATATCTATAAGGTCAAGTTGATTGGTCATATTGTTGAGTTTTTCTGCATCTTTGTTGAGTTTCTTTCCAGTGCACATGGAACTTTTAATGAAAGTGGTGTATTAAAGTCTCTTACTTTGACTGTGGAGTCATCTATTTGTCTTTTCAATTCTGTTAAAGTCAGGTTTATGTACTTATGTATTTCATTGAGTGCATAGATACTTATTATGGTTATGTCCATAATATTGTTCAGTTGATCCTTTAATTATAATGTAATGTCCTTCCTTGTCTCTTATGATTCTTTTTGTCTTAAAGTCTATTTTATTAGAAATTAATATTGCCACTCCAGCTCTCTTTTGGTTACCGTTTACTTGATATATCTTTTTCCAGCCTTTGATTTTTCATCTGTTTTTGTCTTTGTAATTAGACTGGTTTTCAACCCACTTCACTGATTTCATGACTTGCTTCTGGGTCATTAGTAGCAGCCTGAAAATTAGTGATTTTATTTCGTAATTTTTTTTTCCTGATGTCTTTATTCTTATTTTGAGTACTTAAATGGTTGGTGTCAAGTCACAGAATGGGTTTGATAAGTTGTTCTCTATAAGGTTTTTACCATTCACTGGATTATATCAAATAGTGATTGTCATTTGTTCTTTCTTAGGGAAGATTCAGTCATTTCCTGATAAATGTGTGAGGTAGTTTACAGAATTGTAATATAATAGAAATCAGCATCTGTCCTTTCATCAAATCTAAGATGCTCACTTACTGCTTCCTCTTTTTTTTTTTAAGGTAACATTTGTCGATCACCCATTGCAGAAGCGGTTTTCCGAAAACTTGTAACTGACCAAAATCTTTTAGATAAAGTAAGTATTGTTCAATATCTTATAGAAGCCAACTGTTTTTTGAAAAATGTGAACAAAAGTCTTCTTTTTCCCCTGCAGTGGAGGATAGACAGTGCAGCAACATCCACGTATGAAATAGGAAACCCTCCTGATTATCGAGGGCAAAATTGCATGAAGAAGCATGGTATTCCTATGAATCACATTGCCCGGCAGGTACCGTACTTTAACATCAAAAAGCACATGTATATGTTTTGTGTTACAGTGGACAATTGACAGTGGTGCTGTTTCTAACTGGAATGTGGGCCGGTCACCAGATCCAAGAGCTGTAAGCTGCCTAAGAAATCATGACATTAACACAGCTCATAAAGCAAGACAGGTAGAAAAGATCTTACTTAATTTCTATTAAGTAGATTCTCATAACTTGCATAAGTTGCAAGAGGCTTGCTCAAAATCAATACATTTCTTTAGTTAGAATGACCTAAGATGTAGCTGCATTGTGACTGTTTTGTATCACTTCCTGTTCCATAGTTTTGAAACACTTGTATGATCTTGGAATTTACTTATTGTTATTATAATGTAGGTAATAGTTCTACAACTTACAGTGTAGAGAGCCCTGGTTAAGAGCTAGAAGACCTGAGTTGTAGTCACCATTTTCACTTCTGCCTCTGTAATTTTAAGTGATTCATTTGGGCTTAGTATAAGTTAAAAGGTGACATGATAAATATTCTGCTTCCCAAGTTTGTTGGTAGAATAAAGTTACGTAATGTATATAAAAAACATTTTATCAACTGATGTGCCTTAGAAATACGTTGTTGTGTTGTTATGTGCCATTGAGTTGAACCTGACTCATAGCAACTCCTCCTTGGGTTTCCGAGGTGGTATCACTACGGAAGTGGATTGCCCAACCTTCCTTCCAAGGAGTGGGGTAATAATGATATGATGGACCCATAGTTACAGCCTCACCATGTCAAACTTACATTGGAAATCCAATAAAGTAATAACCAAGACCTGTATTTTCATATGAAGATAACCTTATTTTTCTATTATAAATTAGAAGATATAGTTGCTTTTTTAGGGTTCTTTAGTATTCACATAAATAAGTTGATAAAAGTAATCTTATCCTTTAAAATAACACTTATATTGAAATTTCAATATCCATATTGTGTTTTTCTTTTATATGATACTGTTTTAAAGACACTCAGAGTTTGGAAATAATTTGGAAGATGTCAGTGATCCTATAACCATTTCATTTTTGAATTACTTACTGCTTTGAATTTTTTATTTATACTATGTGTTTTCAATAATGGAAGGCATGTTGAAATCAAGGGGAAAAAATTTCTTTTTACGTAATAAGGATTTTGATACAAATATATGGGACACACATGTCCCACGTGGACTCCTGGTAGGATTGGAAGGATTCTTCAGATTAACATGGTTATACAGGTTCCTGCCAGGTGGCAGCACATAGTACAACTGGGATAGCAGGTTCCCAAGAAACTTGAGAGGCTGAAAGTGTTGATGGGCAATATATGTTCCATGGGTCATGGACTGGATAAACTAAGTTTGACAGAGTTTGCCACATTCTTCTGATCTTTTGTTCTTTTTACAAAGTAAAATAAATGCTATTAAAGTTTTCGCGTTTCTCCCTCAAAATAGTCATTATCCTGAAATTGGTGTGTATTTTTTCCATGTTTTCATTCTTTTGTTATATGCTTATATTCTCATAAAAACATTCATTTGTACAAAAATATTAATTGAACATTTAGTGTCCAGCTCTGTTTCAGGTCCTGGGCATACAGCAGTAAACAAAGTAAAGTCCTGTTCTTCTGTAGCTTGTTTTGTCCAGAAAAGTTAAACAATAAACAGAGAAACAGTTATTCATTGTGTCAGGTTGTAAATATGTGTGTTGAAGCTGGCTTGTGCGAGTTCACCAGAGCATTATTGTTTGCATCTTTTTCAGACTCTACATTGAGTGACTTCATGTCATGTTGGTAACATGGGAACAGGAAAGTAACAATGATGGGAGTATTTGCACTACAAAAATTGGCAAACGGTGCATATCAGTTCTTTTTTTTTTTGTAGGGATAGGAAGAGAACAGGTGTTCTCTTGATGACCCTATGTGTTACAGAGTGGAATTGCTTAATAGGATAATCTTTATGGAAGCAGATTGTTTGGCCTTTCTTCCGTGGCTCTGATGTTGTTCTTAGGTGCCATTGAGTCATCTCTGATCATAACAACCCTATGCACAGCAGAACGAAACACCCCCCAGTCCTGCACCAGCTTCATGATCCTTGCTATACTTGAGCCCATCATCGCAGCCACCATGTCAATCCATCTCATTGAGGGCCTTCCCTTCTTTTGTTGACCCGCCACCTTACCAAGCATGACATCCTTCTCCAGGGAATGGTCCCTTCTGACACTGTGACCAAAGTAGGTGAGGTGAAGTCTGGCCATTCTCGCTTCCAAGGAGCATTCCAGCTGCACTTCCTCCAGGACAGATCTGTTAGTCCATGGTACTTACAGCATTCTTCACGAGCACCACAAATCAAAAGTATCCATTCTTCTTCGGTCTTATTCATTTTCCAGCTCTCACATGCATGTGAGGCAATTGAAAATATTGTGTCAGGCGCACCTTAGTCCTCAAGGAGACATCTTTGCTGCTCTGCACTTGAAAGAGGTCCCTTGGAGCCAACTTGCACAGTGCTACACATCATCCAATGTCCTGCCTGCTGCTTCCATTGGCATCGATTGTAGAACCAAGCAGTGTGAACTCTTTGCCAACATCAGTCTTTTCTCCATTTATTGTGATGCTGCTTATAGGTCCATTTGTGAGGATTTTTAATTTTCTTTATATTGAGATGTAATCCATACTGTAGACTGTATTCTTCAATCTTCATTAGTAAATGCTTCAAGTCATCCTCACTTTCAGTAAGCAAAGTTATGTCATCAGCGTATCACAGGTTGTTAAGGATTTTTCCTCCAATCCCGATGCCATGTTCTTCTTCATATAGTCCCAACTTCTCGTATTATTTACTTGGCATACAGATTGAATAAGTATGGGGAAAGGATACAACCCTCATGCACTCCCTTCTTGATTTTAAACCATGAAGTATTTAAACAACAGCCTCCTGGTCAATGTACAGGTTCCTTATGAGCACAATCAAGTGTTCTGGAATTCTCATTCTTCTCAGTGTCATCCACAATTTGTTAATGATCTATACAATCAAATGCCTTTGCATAGTCAATAAAACACAAGTAAAAATCTTCTGAATCCAGCTTGCATCTCTGGAAGTTCTCTGTCAGTATGCTGCTACAACCATTTTTGAATTGTCTTCAGTAAGATATTACTTGTGTGCGATATTAATGATATTGTTCGATAATTTCCACATTCTGTGGGATCACCTTTCTTTGGAATGGGTACAAATATGGATCTCTTCCAGTCAGTTGGCCAGGTACCTGTCTTCCAAATCTCTTGGCATAACCGAGTGAGTGCCTCCGGTGGGGCATCTGTTGAAACATATCCGTGGGTATTCTGTTAATTCCTGGAGCCTTGTTCTTCGCCAGTTCCTTCAGTGCAGCTTTGACTTCTTCTTCAGTACCATTGGTTCTTGATCATATGCCATCTCCTGAAATGGATGAAGATCTACCAGTTCTTTTTGGTACACTGACTCTGTATTCCTTCTATCCTCTTTTGATGTTTCCTGCATCATTCGATGTTTTGCCCTTAGAATCTCTCAGTATTACAACTTGAGGCTTAAATTTTTTCCTTAGTTCTTTCATCTTGAGAAATGCTGAGCATGTTTTTCTCTTTTGATTTTCTAACTCCAAGTCTTTGCACATTTCATTATAATAATTGGTCATTATAATAATTGGCTTTGTCTGCTCAAGCTGCTCTTTGAAGTCTTCTGGTCAGCTCTTTTATCTTGTCTTTTATTTTGCTTTAGTTACTCTCCACTCAAGGGCAATTTCCAGAGTCCCTTCTGCCATCCATTTTGGTCTTTTCTTCTTTTCTCGTCTTTCAGTGACCTCTTGGCTTTCTTTATAGATGATGTTCTTGATGTCATCCCACAGTTCTTCTGGTTTTCGGTCATTGGTGTTTAGTGCATCAAATCTGTTCTTTAGATGGTCTCTCGATTCAGGAGAGATATATTCAAGATCATATTGTGGCTCTCGTGGAGTTGTTTTAATTGTCTTTAACTTCAAGTTGAACTTGCGTATGAGCAGTTGATGGTCTGTTCCACAATCAGCTCTTGGCTTGGTTTTGGGTGAAGGTATTGAGCTTTTCCATCTCCTCTTACCACAGATGTAGTCAATCTGATTCCTGTGTATTCCATCTGTTGAAGTCCACGTGTATAGCCACCGTTTGTGTTGTTGAAAAAAGGT